AAGTTTTTTCCTTCCAGTGATCTCATATATGGTCCTCCAAAACCAAGAAATGTATCAAGGCTCTGAAGGGCAAGTCTGCAACACACTTTACTCTTCGGCTGTTTGCACGGCTTCAAGAGGATCTTCAGAGACTGTGTATTGTAGACACCAGCCCTGTCTGCAACTTGCCCTAGCTTTGTATAGATCATTTTGGACTGTTTTCAGGGTGAGAGAACTAAAAAAACAATTGTACTTTTAGTTACAGCCTGCTCTGATTCTGCAGAATGTAAAACTCAGCTGGACAACAGTTTGGAGTAATGTCTTTTTTTGGATCATCTTATTCCTTGCTGTGATTGTTCATCCACACTTCCTATTTTCTGTCTTTCTTCAGTTCATCACCTCTGGTGACATAATTTAGAGTAATAAAATGGACATATGAATGAGGGTATTTAAAATTGAGGGCAATTTTAAAAATCAGAAATAATGTATATAGCAAAGTGTTGTAGCCTCAAGAGTTATTTACACTTGTTTGGAATGCTGTCAGTAACCCTTCAGGAATGACAGAGTTGTCCCATTTTTGGAAAACAGATATGTCACCTTTCAACACCATTGATGCCCTATCAATATTTTGTGTTTATTGCTTTATGGCTAATCAGGATTTCTAACAGTCTTTCTGACTTCAGTAAGAAAAAGTCATTTCATGATATTAAGATGTCAGGAATCACAATAGTCAATTACCAAATAAACATGAGAGAAAATGCACCTCTCAAGTATTTCAAAGGTTAGTACTGTATTGAGTAACAGATGTTGCTTATGTCAAGCCCTCAGGTTTTATATGATAAAGTTCCTCTAAGTTTTATACAGATTGAAATCCACATTTGTCTAAATAATCTCACTTTGTTATAAAGCTCGGAAGAAAACGTCTTTGGAGAATGAGGAACAGTTGAGTCAAACTCACTCTTAATGAACCCTAGTGATTTGAGTACCGAAAGCTAGATCTGCCCCATTATTTGTCAGATATTTAATTCATTTAAAATTATTTTAAAATAAAGGCAAAAGACACCCTTTATGCCTTGAGTTTTAGTCTGTGCTTCAGACTGAAACAAATAATCATAATTTGACTGAAACCACAGTTTCCATGTCGTGGCCAGAATTAATCATAAATCAAAGCAACTTCATGAACCTTAGCAGATGAATAACTGCGACCAAGCTTTGAATATTAAGCCTTGAATCAAGCAAATGTCGCATGGCCTTCAGGCCAGAGATATTTCACATAGATGTACTATTATATTTTCCTTTTAGTTTTACTAAATCAGGATTAATTTCATCATAAAAATATTCTTCCTTCAATATAATTTATTTTCTAGAAATAAACCTAGAAAATGTCTACGTTTATATTTCATATAAGCTACTGTAGTTAGGAATTTCATGTCAAATACAGTAAACCCTCAGAGAAAATTCAGTGAATGAAATCCTAGCTCTGATGAAGGAACTACCAACATTTCTTTGATTTTTCTGTGATTGAGATTTTGTCCGAAGTCTTTGATAGAATGCACCAAGACCAAGTATTGATGTGACAGCACTGAAACTTGATCCACAGTATGAACAAACGTATTACTTGAAATATTTCCAATGAATCTGTGTCCATATAAATTCAGATGTTGCAGTAGTGGAACTATGCATCCATATGTAATAAATCTATCCATCTTTGCATACCAATAAGGTATCAGCAAGGATGTTAACAATTTTGTAGAAACATAAAGTTGTACTTCAATAAATAAAAACAATATAAGGAGTCTAGGCTTCGAAGTTCTGAATACTTGCATATTTACATAGCTCTGAGATGACACATGAATAAAATTGCCCATGCAATTGAGTTCTGTGATAAGGAATGCGGAGAATTTCTAAAAATAGAAGAAACAAGTGAAAAGCATCGAAAATAGGTCTTTTCAACCTCCTCTCTAACCACGGTGATTTTAAATTGAGTTACAGTACTAGGCCATTTGTAAGTAGAAAACCTAGCACAGCAGATAGACTGAACTTTCACCAGGCTAGCCATACCTGTTTTTCTCCTCCATCCTTTCAGTTATACTACATCTTTTTCCCTCTATCACAATTAACACCTCATAAACCATCTAATTTAACACCTTTGCTTTTTCCAGAGTTTAATACTAGTAACCTGGGAGCAAGTGAATGTTATATATAAATACATCAATAGGCGAACAGAAGGGAATAACAGTTTAGAATGTTATTGAGAGAGAAACAAATGAGACAATTTCTAATCAGAGGAGTGAAGTTCAGGCACTGCCCTCACTAGGAAGAGTGAAATGAACTGATTTTAAGATGAAGCACTGGATTACAAAAAATGTTAGATAATGTCTGCTGAAAAGCAGAGTTTTGGATTGGTGATTCAGAGGTTTTAATCAAGTCCCACCTTTTTTTACTTCTTCCTGCCAAAACTGATGTACTCATCTGAAACTTTTGATTTTAACAACCTGCTTTTTTTTTCTCCAATACAAGCTATGTAGAACAATTCTATCTAATATTATATAATTATGTTGGAAACACTAGTACTAAGTGCAATGAAATAATATGGTGGATGTAGCCAGAAGCAGTCAGAAAACATGAAGAAAATTTAATCTACCTGAAAAACAGACACCAGAATAAAAACTTTTTTTCATCAGAATATTAATTCAGTGCACACACTTCTAAAAACAAAATCAGAAATGGTTTTCTCTGACAAATCTCTGTCAAATTTAATTGGACTGTGTCAAATAATGGGATGCCTTCCTAAAGTTAATTGTAAAAGTTCCATATTGGCTTTAGTTGTGTTCTTTTCCTGCAGTAAGAATGGCCTGCAATATACATAGGAGCCTTCAGAATTCATAGATGTGACAAAATGTGAAAATTTAGAAGGAGAGGACAATTAAGATTTTTCCCTGTAGAAGGCAAGTAAATATTATTTTTAAAAGGAGAATTCAACTGTAATTCTTAAATGCTATTGTGCTTAATGTGTAGTCTAAATGCAAGCATTCAAGTACTGAACAGAGAGATTTTTAGTCTCGCTATACCTGCAAACCACAATGCAACCTTAGCTGTGGAGTTAATTACTCTTCTGTATAAGAATAATACAAAATCTACAGCATAATGCAAAAAGAAAATTAACATGTGTCATGTAAATTAAATTTTCCCACAAAACTGCTCTACTTTTTCACTTATTTTCTTCTACCTCATTGCCTACGATTACCTATCTTAGGGCTTGTGATAATTTGTGGGATATCTCTATGTAAAGCTTAGGAATTCTGTTTGATACTTTGAAATCTCTCTATATAGCTGTATCAGGTTGAAAATTCTTTGCTACTCTAAAATCCACAAGAGGTGATTTTTGCTCCTGGCACATGATCACTAAAGAATTGTTAAACCTTGATAACATCCTACTCAAGTACAGTCCCTTGAAGCATGACAATGCTACCAGGTAGGCAAACCTGGTTTTATAGATGAGGTGAGGCAGGAATAAGTGAGTGATAAATCATCTGTTCTACACAAATTTAATCACCTGTCAAGGGAGCTACCTGACTAACGAAGGTAAGGTGGCTTCTTGATTGGTGTTGTTAAAGTATGTCTTGTACTAAGTATTGGAGGGGGATGGTGGACTTATGGGACTTCTACCTATATTTGGAGTGGAAAAGGAAGGAAGAGAAATGCAAAGTGGTTCCTGCCTTTAACAGCTGTTCTGAAGCCCTTGAAATCGAAGTGGGTTTTTTATCCCTTCTGTGAAGAAACTCCAAGTCTGGCGTACCGCCAGTTTAAATAAATGAAGAAATCGGCACTGCCCTCAGAAGAGAGGGCAGCAAAGCTCTGCACGGGAGGACTGGGAAAGGAGCCGCTGTTGCTGCTTTAGCAGACCAAAGCAAGCTCACATGGACACCAGTGGTGTGTTGCATGGAAAAACCTGGCTCCAGCAACTGGCGAGTGGCCGACCGTTGCTTTTACCAAGGCTGAGGGAGGGGTGTTGGACATCCTTGTGCAAATGAGCCTAGTCCTGCTAATGTGATCACGGCCCCATGGATGCTCGGGGCCTTTCTGCCGCCCGGGATGCTTGCACTGCCCGGCTCACCCCTCCGTGCCCGGCAGGTCAGGGCTCCGGGGCCCCACTCCGCGGCCAAGGCACCTGGCGGGCCGCTACCAGCCACAAGACAAGCGAGGGCTGCACCTCCCGTTTCCCGCGGAGCTGGAGAATGCTCCCGCATCGAGCTGAGCGGGGACTGCAACCCGCTTCGTGGCGCGGAGCCTTCGCAACTTCCCGCGGTCACTCCGCTCTTCCCCGCCCGGCTCCCGGCAGGTCCCGCCGGCCGGGAGCGGCGGTGCCACCCGGTCACCTGCCCGGGGGAGTCCCCTCGCCCTCCCTCAGACCGGACAGCGCTCGGGCACCCGCGGCGAGCGAGGCGCTCGGCGTAGGATGCCTCCCTGCCTCCCTCCGTCCCTCCGCGCTGGCGGAGCCCTGCGCCGGGGGCTGAACTCCGGAGAGGGGACCGTCCCGTGCGCCCTGACTCTCCCCAGCCCCCGCACCCCTCCGCCCGCCTCCTCCCCTGGTCACTGGGGCTGATGAATTAATCATGAGGTGGCTGCTGTTAATGCATTTATGTGGAGCGGGCTGTGCCAGCGGCTCGAGGCGCGGCGGGCTGAGGGAGCGCGGGGAGCGCCGGCAGCGCCGGCCCCTCCGCTCCGCCCGGCGCGGAGCCGAGGCCGCGCCCGCACCGCTCTCCATGGCTCCGGAGGAGGTAATGGGAGCCGGGACTCGCTCCCCGTTTCCCCGGCCGTCAGGAAAGGGGCAGGGCTGGCAGGGTGCGGAGGGAGCACGACGGTACTGGCAGGGCAGCTCCAACTTGCCGGCAGGGGGGAGAGAAAGGCTCGTGTTGCCGGGGAGGGGTGTGGGGGGTGTGTTCGCTTCGCGTCCCCGCGGTTCCCCCCAGATCCTGCCCGCGGTTTAAAAATCGCTCTCTTGGCATAAGCGCGCGGGAGCCAGGCTCACTTTATCGCCGCTGACGCTGTCAAAATCGCTGTGGCTCCAGCAGTAACAACAGCGAGCCCCCTCCCTCTCTCTCTCCCTCCGCCGGGTCACCCGCTCCTCGTGAGAAACCAAACGCTGATATTCCTTTGGCTTCATCTTCCCGGCTTACGCGAGAGTGCGGAAGACTTGCTAATTAATTTACATACGAGGGAATGATGTCTGAAGGAAGGAAAAAATACCCCGTTGCACCTGCTCCGCCGAGACTTGTCATCTGAATCTGGAGGAGAGCTATAAATCATGTAAAGTGTTCGCGGTGGAGTCGGCTTCTTCTGAGAGCTGTAGGATTATGTATCCAAATGCTGAATTTATATTTCCCACTAGGAAAAGACTGAAACTCAGGTCAGATATAAACTACATCATTTCATTTAAAACAAATCTGTAGTTATTTAATGTAATTCTAGAGGGCATTTTTCTTCTCTCCTGATTAAATAAAAAGTACTATTAGAGCATGTAGTAATGATTTACACATTATAGCCTGAAATTTCTTGCAGAGTTGGAAGTGGTTGAGTGTAAGGATGGTGCTTTAGAATCACATATGTCCTCTTATTTTTGCTTCACGTGGAAAGACTGAGAATAACCAGGCTGTTAAATTTTACCTTCAGTTTTTAATGTGTACAAGACCATATTTTTAGATACAGAATGGAGAAAACTTGGATGAGGGAGACCACAACTTCCATTGAAAAGGTTGACTTTCTCAACTACAGCAACTAAAATCCATGTTGTGTCTGCTTTGATGATTTCATCCTTTGAAAAAAAGCTTTAAAACTGTGATAAGCTACTTCCAAGAATTTCAGTTACTACCTCCAAGGCAGTACTGTGATAGTTCTTGACACTTGCCTGCTAAATGAGCTGAACTGGGGAGACCTACTGTTCAGTCAGATGTTTATGTTATTCCTGTGCCAGGTATTTCTTCATAAAATACAAAATGAGGGTTTTAGCCTGATAAGATTATGATTTTATATTGTAGAAATTATTCATACTTTAATTTTGTGACATCAGTGGATTTTCATATATTTGACTAGTTTTGTTGCTGGCTAAACTAGACTAAGATTTTGTAATTTCAGATGGAACTGATTTAGATTGGGGTTAATTGCTTTAGTAGCCTAAAATATTTTTAGTAATATTGTAAATGGCAAATATTATTAAGTTCTTTTGTTCCAATTATGTAAAAACATGGCTTTTTCATTAAAAAGGTGTTGTGTATTATAGATGGATCCTGTACATTGCATCAGCGTGAGGGAATTAAGGAGTTTGTGTTCTTGGACAGCACATGTCATTTGCAAGTTTCATAAGTTCTGAGCTTATTGTAAAAGTGTGTGTGGCAAAAGACTGCTGTGCTTGTATAAGAAACTAATAATAACACAGAAATCTGTGAGGTAAGCAAGAACTAGAGCTAGGCTAACCACTCAATATGCTTACTTTGAAAACAAGCCTGTATGCAGTAGTTTTCATATCACTGTTCTACAGCAACAAAATAACGGTGCCAAAAATAAGCATAGGCCAGAAATAAAAGGACAAAAATTTACAAGATGTCCCGAGGAAAAAAAACCCTCATTTTGAAATGGAGTCTTTCTGTCAAATCCAAGACTGCATGTTGTTAAACTAAGTCATACTCACATATACAGCAGTTTATGACATTTAAGGTGGGAGCCTTGGTCTAGTCTATAACCAAGCAATTAAAAGAGATTCTGTTGTTTAGGATTTGGTTTGTCACAGATGGTAGAGGTCAAATGGCAGTCAATAAAAGTAGAGTTCATTTTTGAACTTGGAACAGGAGAACAATTTGTTTTCTTGTCTGATTCTTCTGTCTCTAACTGGAAATGCTGTCAGGAACACCAGCCCACAAAGCGGCCAAAATTTACTAAGTGATGAATGTTTATTGTTCTGAGAAGGTACTCTAATAAAAAATACTTTTTTGGTGTAACTGACATTGTTCTGGCCAGTGCTTTGGCCGTGTAGGTCGTAAGTGAATAACATGGAGGTTCTGATTTGGGATTTGAACAATATATGTCACTGCATAAGTTTCAGTCCAGTGGAAATTTTTATGTTTGGTCACCAAATTGTTGCATCAAGTTATACTGGAAAAGCATTTGCTTCTTTTGTAATCTAAAATGAAAAAATGATTTGTCAGCCAGAAGGAGGCAGGGAGATGTGTTTACACTTACTAGACTTTATTGTCTGTACAATAATGACTTCTGTTTGATACAAGGGATTGTGGGCTTGGTGACTTCAGTGAATGACAAACCCACCCACATTTTCAACATTTGCAACATATTGACCATGCTTTTTGTGTAACCATAGCGTTGCTTGTTTATTGATGAACAGATCTTTGAAAGGAGCTGAATGAAGAAGAGTCAAATGTCTGCATGATGTTCACTTATTGCTACACAAATAACTACATGACAACTGGGCCAGCATTTGTAGGCACATGAATATGCCCTCTCTATTTTGTGCAGTTGTTTTTGATTTACGCACTGTCATATGAAACTTGTAAATGGGTTGTTCAATGGTTAACATAGAGTACTATGTTATGGTAGATGCAGACAGCTGTATGTCCTAACAGACAGGTTAAGTTACGAGATTTCGCATAGTGACAGCATTTGAGGTGTATATGCATGGAGTACAATCAAATGCCTTCTTTGACTGTTTATATAGTAAGCAGATTAAACTTCCAAGGAGGACAAATATTTAATGAAGACCTGAAGAGGCAATATCATTTCAGTATGTTTGCAATGCACTGCTCTGTTTAGCTGGTGATTAAATCTTTTGATCTCAAGGAGAGCTTCTAGTCATCTGCTTTGATGCAATATTCTATGAAACCATTTAAGCTAGAGGGGTAGGGGTTTAAGTCTTAAGACTGTTTTCTCCTAGAGATAAAAAATTGCATGCAGTTCTCTCATAGCCCTAGTTGAACTTCAGTGGGAATAGTGGCAACAAAAAGACTGGTAAAGAAGGGGGCAAAATAGGGAACAGTTAATCACCACAGTAACTCAGGACTGAAGAAAAGACCTCTCTGAGTTAGGCAACAGTCTTATCTAATTCGAGTCATAAAGTCATCACAGTCTACCTTTAAGCTAGTTAAGCACATTGCCCTGTTGTTCTTTCTGGAAAGATGATTAAAAACCTCTTTCCTAATGTTTAGAGTTTTCTTTGAACTTTCAGCTTAAATATATTTTTTGATTCCTAATTTTTAATCTCTCAATATTGTTATTTAAAACCAACTCCTTCCTTGGGGTGTAGCCCTCAATAAATTATAACCATCGATCGTGTGTCTTCCTCAGCTTTTATGTGCTAGGATCAAACAAGCAGAGAAAGCACCTTATAGTCTCTCTAGCGAAACAGAATAAATAGGAAGATACAAAGCCTAGTAATTTAATTCTCGTGAATTCTGAACTTTGTACCTGAAGTGTTTTCTTAAAGTCTTGAATAAGAGTGCTAATGCTCCACTTGGTCTTCTCAAAATATTATGTCAGATATTGGTGAAGATCAAGTTTGTTTTACAGGTATGCCAGGTTGACTTAACCCTGTTGTCATAAACTAGACATGGGTGTATGATTTATCTTTTTGTGTTGCTCTGAAATGATCAGAGACCATCACAGAAATAATCACAGAAATTCTACTATTTGTAATCATGTGCTTTGAAGAGTTGCTAAAGGTTTTGCCATTTCTAATACTACAAATGGTCATCCAATTTCTTCTGCAAGTTGGAGAGAACCTCCCCTGCATCAAGAGGGCTTCCTGTAACCAGTTTTAATCAAAACACCTCTTCTTTTTGCCACATTCACAGACGAAATAAGATGAGTCTGAAGAAGGATTTTAAATAAATCCATTTAATATGTTACCATTAGTCACTTTTACATTGACTTTATCTTTGTATTACGCCTGCCTATCTTTTCCAACTCAGTAAATCATTGCTGGGTGACACCATATCAAATTCTTTACTGGAATATGGAGAGGATGGCTTCTGGATTTCCTTTCCCATAATATTTGCTTTTAAAAGTTAATTTATTTGTTCCAGACTATGTCTTTTCAAAGTTTCTTCTTTTTGCTGTTGTCTAAAATTTCCTGTTAATGCTGTACATCTGTTTAACTTGGAAGGGCAGAGCAAATCCTTTTCAACTTATGCTACAAAAGGTGCAGATATAGTTATTAAGTAAAATGTTACACATTACCTGCAGAACAACAGAGAAGATTATTTAATATCTTTTTCCTACTATGATTCTTCAGAGTGCTAAGCAACCATTTTGTGTCACTCAAGTCTGCAAGTGAAGTCTTGCATTTTGTCATCCTAAAAACTGTTTAAAGGGGGAAAAAAGGGTCAAATTAAAATTTTTATAACCTGCAAATGGTAGACCTTTTTTTGTTTCAGGAATTGACAACAGAAAAATGTGTTCTAAGATTGTCTTTGTTTACAAGAGGATCTTAGTGGATATCTGAAAAAAAATTGAAGCAAGATAATAGGGAGTTTGTGTTGAAAAACTACAAAAGATCGGTTAGTAGAAATACTGGGTTTTAGAAGTGAATGAATAAGATAATCCAAATTTAAGCATAAAATTTGAGTTTCTGGATGGAGATAAACTGGGCTATTTCTGTCCTTGCCATAATTTAGCATTTATATAGTATTTACTACGTAAAAACCTCTTCATAGGTATCAACAATCTTCATTATACCCTCTGAAGTAGATAGGTGTTCTTCTGCCAATTAATGGTATAGGGCCAATATATTTTAGATGTAAAAATAAATAAATCTGTAAAAAGTTTAAATTTTGGTATGAATTTGTTTTTTGAAATGTATGAAGGGCAGATTGTATCCCCCAGTATTCAGAATCTGCTCTTATAAGGTATGCTTTCATTTTTAAGGAACAAAGAGAGTTTCATTCTGAACACTTGAATAACATCATGTCTCTTTGATAATGGAGTCTAGTCAGATGTAGTTTTTCCTGGATAAAAGTGTTGGATACTATAAAGGACAGTACAAAGATTTTGTCAGATTTAGCTTCCACTTTTTGTGGAAAGGTAGTTACACATGGAAAGAGTGAGCTTGTCTTCTGTCTCCACCCTCCTTGGTTGACAGACTTTCCCTCCAGCAATCAGTTGACAGCAATCAGTTTGAGGATTATTTCTGGAAGGAAAAAGTTTACAGCTTTACTTCAAGAGTAAGATTAAAAATAAAATAGCTGTCATCTATTTCCTTGGCTTAACTAGTTAAAATCATAGCCACAAAAATGCCATATTATTCAGCTAAGCTCTTCTGTGCATTTTGTACAGTAAGTAGACCTTATTAAAGGAAAGGCACTAAAGCCTTGCAAAAAATATCTTGTAAAACAAAATTTACAAAAT